ACACCTTTTTAAAAACTTTGATAAGATTTTAATATGTTTTTGTACAAAATGTATACTGATGTATATGTACATCTGCCTTTTGTTTACATCCGTTGAAATTAAGTGCGCGCACATTTTCCTAACAAATAGCTCTGAGTATTATTATAGCATTCTTAAATTAGTGTTATTCCGCAAGACGTGAGAAGAAAACTTGGATAAATTATGATAAAGAATAAATCAACAAGTCTAAATGAAAACGTTTTCCAATTTATTTTGTGTGATATTTAGAGCAGACACTCTTCGTCAGGCACGAAAGACCGTATTCCATTGGGATTAGGCTAGAAATAATCTTTAAAAGATAATATAATACACACGTTCAACGTGGAGCACGTTGACAAAAAATACTGTTACGACAGCGGAAGTCACGTGACGCTGGGAGCATGCGCGCAGGAGTTTCTCGACGGATCATGAATTTGCCTGACAACTCTAGTCTGATCGAGACGCCCTCTTTTTAGTATATAAGCCTGGCGAGAAAAAACAGCGTGATATAGAGATAGATAATTGAGCCAAGCGAACAGTAGGCACTGTAAGCAAAGTGTGTGAATCACTGTGATTTATAGTGTTATAAAAGTTGTTAAGTGTATTACAAAGTTTGTATCGAGAAAGAATAAACTAGTTTTAATCAAGGAAGGACTTGTTGTCGCTGAAGTTTCTCGGAAAGAATTTCTACCGGAAATTAACAAACAAACATATATGTAACAAGGCTTTGTCTAACTATGAAATGAATAGGGGGGTACATTGTCCCTCTTATACCCACAACTGAAAACACAAACTTACCCAGCAGCATCAAGTCGCGAACCCTGGAACCTTCGTAAAGCAGCCCGGTACGCTGACTGCCAGGTCACTTTAGCTTTATCCCAAAGATTTGATTGGAATCCGTTACCTGAACAAAAAATGATGTTGTGTTGTGATCGTTACCTGAACAAAAAATGATGTTGTGTTGTGATCGTTACCTGAACAAAAAATGATGTTGTGTTGTGATCGTTACCTGAACAAAAAATGATGTTGTGTTGTGATCGTTACCTGAACAAAAAATGATGTTGTGTTGTGATCGTTACCTGAACAAAAAATGATGCTGTGTTGTGATCGTCACCTGAACAGAAAATGATGTTGTGTTGTGGTCGTCACCTATACAAAAAATTATGTTATGTTGTGATCGTCAACGGTACACATCTCGAATAACTGTAAGCACAGGAGTTACAAAATATATACTTTACATATACAAAAAAGGTGTTTCGAAGAGTGTACGTATAGAGGAGCAGATTGGCCTATCGGGACACCGTGCAATTGTCCAGGTGAGCCGGTGCATTTGACGCATTTTAAAAAAATTAGTTTAAATTTTATCTGTTTAGCCAGCATGTGATATTGCTCAGCTGGCCCTTTAATACCAATCCGCCCTTGTATGTATGTTATATTGGTTTTCCATTAAAGTTGTCGAACACTGCTAATAATGATGAACAATAATCGAAGCTCACATTTAATCACACATAGATGTTTCAGTACATTTAATCGTTTAGTGAATTGATGTGGCTCGTTATGTTTATAGTTAGTTTAGTGAATTGATGTGGCTCGTTATGTTTATAGTTAGTTTACTAAATTAGATGTCTTCATTAACATATATTTACTGTTATTTTCGATTTAGGTAGCTTACTTCCAATAAGCCTTTAATAATTTCTTTATGTTTAGTTTTAACTAATTATGTAGACTTATCATTTCCCTAAACTATATTGCCACATGCTGGATTTTGGCGTATTATAGCCTACATTTAGGCCTATTCTGGTGTTGTGTTTTGTAAGTAATATAGCCTACATTTAGGCCTATTCTGGTGTTGTGTTCTGTAAGTAATATGGCCCACATTTAAACATGCTTTGGTGTTGTGTTTTGTAAGTAATATAGCCTACAATTAGGCCTACTCTGGTGTTGTGTTTTGTGACTAATAACACATTCCATTTTTCGTGAAGACTACTTTTATTTTACTTTTTTCGTTTTTATATTGGTATAATTGGTTATTAAAATGTGTATAACATTATTACTAGCATTTCTAACTATGGAGGTGATATTGTTTTGCATTATTAGTTAAACGTTATTATTGGGTTTACGGCCGAAAATATTGCTAACAGCGAGGGTACGCAACTGACGAAGCAATGCATTTTAATCTTTACAAGATTGTGTTGTGTATTTATTAGTTACATTATGTATTTATAGTCAGTTTGTTATATCATTAATCTGTGTTACTTTTTATAGAAGTCTAGAATCACGGACATCTGCTAAGCTATCTATTTTTAAAAGTTTCCCAATCTTAATAAATATTAAAACCTCTACGATGTTTGACTGTGTAAAAAAAAAAAAAAAAAATGTGCTTTTTGTTCTTGTTATGATTCAAATAACTTTCGTGGTAATTTTTGCAGGTTCGCCCAATTGAAATCTCACCGATGTTAACCAGAGAGAAACCTCGCAGTGAACAAACTAGGCCAAGGTTTCTGAACAATCCAAGAAAGATTAAAGTATTATTTGGAATGTTCCTGCTCTTCTTTTCAGTTGTTGCGTTTTGTACGATTGCATATTTCAATAATTTAAGCGTTTTTTTGCGAACAAACTATGTGAGAATTACAAAACTATATGCCGTTAAGAAGAGCAAAGATCGTACAAGTGTATCGAATCTAATTCAGAAAAATACCACTCTTCCGGCACGGCAAGATGATTGGAGTAACGTAACTAAAAACATTTATGTCTTTTCATCATTCTGGGATGACAGGTTGAAACCTTTGCAGAGATTTGTTCGAATCGTAGCTATTGGACCTAGAGAGGGACTAGAAGGAAAAGATATTAGCTGTATTGCGTACAACCAAAATACTAGTACTTCTATTATATTGCCAACTAGTTTCAAAATTATTGAAGAACATCATGGCCAGTCATTTTCGGCTATGTACTTTTTCTGTTACTGGGGTTCAAAAAGACCTCCTCCCCTCGCTGTAGCTTTGCGTCACATACCAACGTCACTGGAATCCGCTAAACTTCCCGTTCACAATCGAAACGTGAGCAAAGTTAGAGTAACTAAAGATAACATTGCAGTTTGTGTGCGGCCCTTTTTTGGGCCGTTTAACAACACCTTAGATCTAGCACAGTTCGTAGCTTTATATCATACTTTGGGTGTCAGTCATTTTACGTTTTATGATTACAGAATAACAAATCAGGTCCGGGAGTTCATATCTTCTCTACAGAAAGAAGGATTCAGTATTGAACTTCTTCCTTGGAGCCTGCCGAATCCTGTGATTCTAAACACGTGGGCATACGGTCAGTTGGCCAGCAGTCAAGATTGTGTTTACAGACATATGTTTGATTATAATTATGTGGCATTGGTAGACGTTGATGAATTTCTTTTTCCACGGAAGAATGAAACGCTTCAGGAAATGATTAAATCATTCCCCATCGAAAAGTGGAGCAGTTTAGAAATTCGCAACTCTTTCTTTTGTAAACGAAACCCAGAGAAAACCGTATCCTCGAATGCGTCAATACCGCTCACTTCTACAAGATTCATAAAACGTGAGAAGAAGATATGGAAACCTAAAATCAGATCCAAGATTATAGTTCAACCTTTCAAAATAATAACTTGTGGAATTCACTTTGTTTGGGAGCATTTTGAAGCAGGGAATGCGATCGTGGTACCACCTAGCGTATGTTTAATGCATCACTACCGCGATAGTATGTGTTCTAAAGATCCACAGAAGATAGTAGTTGACAATTATGCCCTAAAATTTAAAGACCAGTTACTGAAGTCCAAGGTGATAAAAATCTGGAAAGAACTGTTTTGGCAGAAATAAATACATCTTTCTAGTCCGGACATTCTAGCTACTCCCCCCCCCCCCAATCCACAAACATAAAAAATCTTATTAGCAGTAACACTGCGAATTTCCTTCTTTCTAATAAAGTATAATGAATTGGTAAAGCTTTATTCCTGATTTAAACCATTTGAACATGTCTATAGTACACACTATCTCACATAACTTAGGGAAACTCAATTAAAATCGCCATCTTAAGATGACACGGTCTCAAAAGAAAAAGAAAAACTTTGAAAGAGTTGGTAACATCAAAAACTTTTTTGTATATATTGACGGTGGTTAGGGCGCTCGGCTCGCAATCTGAGGGTCGCGGGTTCGAATCTCCGTCCCACCAAACATGCTCGCCCTTTCAGCCGTGGGGGCGTTATAATGTGACGGTCAATCCCATTATTCGTTGGTAAAAGAGTAGCCCAAGAGTTGGCGGTGGGTGGTGATGACTAGCTGCCTTCCCTCTAGTCTTGTACTGCTAAATTAGGGACGGCTAGCGAAGATAGCCCTCGTGTAGCTTTGCACGAAATTCAAAATCAAACGAACAATACATATTGGCAGGAAAAAAAAAAGAAACAAAATAAGACAAAAATAAAAATATAAACAAATGTGGAAACACATTGATAAGACTACCAAAGTATAAATTACAAATATACAAAGAAAAACATCTTAACTAAATACACAAGAGTGAAAGGTAAAAAAAAGCATAAAAGTTTGCATACGTAAAATAAATTCGTATAATCTGAAGCATGGGCTGATATTTTATTGAACTTATCTGCATCGTTATAATCACAGCTAAGGCTCACAAAACTTCTGCAGCACAAATGATAAAGGCTAAACCATTAAATGTTGCATTTAAAACGTATTTAATAGTCAATAAATAAGCTTCCTTTGATGAGAAGACTTCATGCACTTCGTTTGATATTATTATTATCATCATCATGTAAATACAAAAACTTAGATTGTTTTATTATCATAAAACATTTGGCATTTTGAAAGCATACATCTGACGTACATCATATTCTATTTCTAAAACAGTGACATCGCATGTAAAGAAAAGTTGCCCCCACAGTGGCACAACGGTATGTCTACGGACTTACAACGCAAGAATCCGGGTTTCGATACCCTTGGTGAGCAGAGCACAGAAACGCCCATTGTATAGCTTTGTGCTTAATTACAAACAACAACAAAGAATATTTATTTAACCTTTGGAGTCTCTATTTTTTGCAAAACAAATCAACAAATTTAAATAACACTTTTGATCGCTGTATGAAAAGTTAATTACAACTTTCAATAATGTCAAAGTTTTTAATACATAATAAACTCAAGAATGAAAATGGCTTCAATATACTGTACGTAATGTGATTCTTCGAACGGTAATGAAGAAAAACTTTAATATAAGTTTAACATAACAGCAAATGTACGTTTCGACAAAGTTTTGTCATCATCAGGTACCAGTTTTTTCTTCATTACCCATTCAAGCCGTCTCCAGCCGTTATTTTATTATGTTGTTGAGCGATGTTTTGAGGTTCGACTGTATATTTATTGGACTATTAGCAATGTTACGTTGAGGTTTTATTATATGTTGACTTGACTATTCGTAGTTGCACGTTTCGAGGTTCGATATATGTTGACTGAACTATTTGTTGTATCACGTTGAAGCTCGACTATATGTTGACTGGACTCATTCAAGCCGTCTCTAGCCATTATTAATCTCAAGTGGGTTGCTCGTCACCGAACATAATAAAAGCCCCTTGTCATACAACTAGAGAAAGTACAGAAAGTTCGTCATTTTTTTAAATTTTGTAATGAAAACTTAGTTTTAATGAAAATTCGATTCTGAACTCGTTCATCTCCTCTAGAAATAGTGAAAATTATTTTTCCTAAATTGAAAATATTAAAGTTACAGTTCAGTAAAAGTAGGTTAAAAGTTACAAACTTCATCCTAACTATATAATAATAACGTTGCCGGGCTATAAAAAAGAAACAAAATTATGTAATGTCACGACTATTCCTACTTATTCAGTCCCGAATTTTGAAACACCAAAACTTAATCGGTTCAAAACAAAAATTACAACGTTTCTTCCTCTTTATCTTGTTTTAGCTATAAAATCCCAGAATTTGTACACTCTGTTCCTTCAATTCCCGCAGGCCATTCGTCCTGAGACAATACTTCTTAATATCTCATCAAGTTTTGCAACTGCATCGTATAGTTTTCAACATTTTATCAGGTGCTGGTGAGAGATCCGCAGAAACAAGAACAAATCGTTCAACACCAAGTTTTTAACCCCATCGTATAGGGTTTAGATTATTTAAAATCCAATGTTGGACTTGATGTTATACCGAAATTCTGTGTGTAATACTACATAGCTCCCGCGGTCGGAAAAACTTGGCCTGGTCAGCAAACCTTTTCGCTTTACAAATTCTTTCGAGGTCAATTCTTGAAAGGTCAATTGACCATCTTTTCTTTCCTCCATAAAATTCACCATCAATAGTTATCTTTTTTTTTTTTGTTGGCTTGTTCAGAACTGCCTTGCTAAATTCGTGGAAATGTTTATTCGTTTGAACTTTTTACCGCACTTTGTCCTAAGACATTTCTTGTGACTTTTATATCCCAAATTTGGTTTTTCCTGCTCAAAACCTTTCAGCTAAGATAAAAAAAAAAAGAAATAGAAGGTCGTCAGTAACACTCTGCTGCTCGCTGGTATCTAAACTAACACCTTTTAAGCCCTGCACTAGTTTACTTCGAGAATGTTTGTCTCCATAAAATAAATAACTGCCGTTTAGTTTCCGTCATACCTTTACTATGAGTCAGTCCTCTTAAAGATTTCAAGACTTTCGTGATCAGTTGTTCGATAATAAGATCTGAAGAAAGACCATCCCAGAACCTGCCACTTCGCCTGACAACACGTAGTTCAGGTATAAAACAGTCATGGACATTCTTGTTCATATCTGAAGATATTTTCTTGCGGATTTCACGTACTTATTAAGTCCACTTTCTGCGAAATATGGAAACATTCTTGACAGATGAATGGGTTTCGTTTTGATCAAAATCGATAAAAAATATCATTGATATCCATACTAGTAACAAAAATTTTATTTTAAAATTGTTGGAATGGAAAAAGGTCGGAAACTATATAGCATTTGGGATGTGAGGAAATTCTGTATTACGCATTCCCGCATTCAACCACTCACAGGGTGGATGCATATATACATCAGGTGGTGGAATGCGTAATGCAGATTTTCCTCCTACCCCAAATGCTCTCTAGTTTCTGATCTTTTTCCATTCCAACAACTTTAGAATATAATTTGTTGTTACTAGTTTCTGCATTTTTTATGATTAACATTACAGGTCGCGACATCTATTGATTGATATGCGTATTGGGTAATATTAAGCAATCTGTATCATTGCATATATTTTGGCGATACCCGTGGCAGGCAGAGCACAGATAGCCCTTGTAAACCACAGTGTGTCTACTTTCAACCTACGCACCAAACACTTCACTACTCGCCTTTTCAACCTAGAGCCCCAAGTGGTCCACGTTAGGTTGGTTAAAGCCCAGAATATATGCTTGTTTGTTTGTTTGTAATTAAGCACAAAGCTACACAATGTTACAGCTAACCGAGAAGAAGAAAAGAAAATAAGAACTGGACTCATCCTTACATAGAGATCGCTACTGTGCTCTCTGATACTATAGTTATAATTTTGTTGTTAGATTGGAGACAAATGCTTCTTTTTCTTGCATTGTTATCAATCTCTTGATGAAGGAGGCTTCATAGACAGATTAAGAAGATATATCTCCTGACACAAGTCCTTTGTAGAGAAGCTTGACTTCATCGATGCCAATGTTCTCTAAAGCTTCAAGATTGGTGTAACTCGTACTCAATGATATATAGAAGGACCAGTCAAAGAGAGGTTGAATCTAATGCAATATTAAAAATACTGTAACTGTCGAGATGGCTTTACCTGCTGAGATTTTAGTTAACTGCTGTCGTGACACTAGTGTTTAAAATTTAATGGTGATATGCCAGTGTTATTAATTATATTTAGAAATTTCGTGCTCTCGATATTTCCAGAAGCATAGCTGAAATTAAAAATAAGAAAAGTACACAAAATAAGTCCTGTTTATTTAATACAAGCTAAGAATTTCATTTTTTTTTTTTGTAAGTGAATAGTTGAATAAATTATTACTTGTTCGACACTGCTTATAGTGGTGTTTTCTTTTTAGTACGTTACAATATATCTAACCTTAACTTCATGCACTCTGTTTCTACACAATTCGCTGCTCACTGTAAATAATCCTATCAGTTAGTAAATATCAAGGTTATTAATTCTTTCAGTAAGTAAAAGAATTAGGGAAAAGAACCACGAAAAAAAAAACTTAATTCTGGAAAACACAATTTTCCAATTTTAAAACATTTCAAGTTCAATAACAATATCAAGTAACAATCAAAAATAATTCATTTTAACTGCGACTCGTGTACTAACTCGTTTAAACTCAAGACAGGGTTTTTAATTAGTGGTTAGACCAAGAGGTTACCTCTCATGCGACTAGCTTATTTACATAGTTTTTCACAACATTAATATCTGTACGCCACCTCTAGGGGGAACTTATATCAGTTTCATAATACAAACATACTCAAATTAAACGTGCTCTAGCTAGAAGAGAAAGTGGGTTAGCAATTTAATATAACTAGAAATTCATAGTTGAATTAAACGATGGAAAGAATAATAAATAAATGGTAAATAAAACTATACGAAAAATGAAAGTAGAATTCGTTATCTCACAATCAGTGTACGATCACTGTATTCAGTGAAATATAAATCTTTTTTATTTTATTTTAATGAAGAGACATTCGAGTTGATCCAAGTTTTTGAAGCTAATACAGTAAACATGATCTCAAATTGAAATAGAACACTTTTGTGCACCTTAAACCATGTTTTTATCACGCAATTGTAAAATGACCAAAATCCGAAATTTTTCGATCTGAAAAGTTGAGTTTTTTGCTCATTCATATCTCTAGTCATTTTTGATATAATGTTAGTAAGCAATTTTTTCTAATAAGAATACTTTTAGGGAAAATTCTATCGCAATTTTTTCGAGATTCGCTTTTTTGTCATCACATTTAGTGGACTTTAAGGTTGTTATATCATAATGAGGGAAAACATTTGTTGATGATCAATTATTATTTTTTATGGCTTTCTAAAACGAAAAGTTAAATTCGGTTTTATTAATACGTTTTTAAAAAGTTTAAACAAACTTTAGTTATTCAAACGACTATTGAATGTTCACTTTGGAAGACATTTTACTGTGGTAGTAGAAAAAAGTATTTTTTACTACATTAATTAGGTAAATATTTCTATCAGTAGTGTAATCTTTTTGAAGTTCAAAATCTAGTATTCATCGCAAGCTGTCGTCCAAAGGGAATATTTTTATTGAAGTTTATAGAGAAATTATTCGTACTTGTCAGAGGTCACTTATTTCAAGAATGGCGGCTCTGTTGAAAAAGCGAGCTCTTGCAGAATTCAGTCAAGTGTTACAGGTAAATTTGTTTATTTTTTGTCCGTGTTGAGCTTAACACATTTATTTCTAAAGATGTTTTATCATGTTTTTTTTTCCATTCTTTGTTGATTTATTTTTTTTTTATTTCTGTAGAAAAAAAGGATAGGGTTAAGCAGTCGCAAACTTTGTTCTAAACTAAAGACTAAAGCCAATCATCGACTCTTGACTTGAGCCAGTAAGATCAAAGAGAAACGCTTTGGTTTTTACTTTCAAATGTATACTTTAACATTCTACATGTTTGCACTGTTGGCATTGTAGTGCATTACTAGCTTCTGTCATACGAGCTGTAAACAAAAGTAAAATACACTGTGTGCACTTGCCAAATGTTGATATTGAATTTGATAACTATTATTATTAATATTAAATTATTATATCAATATCGTATATATTTTTAAAACCTCAAAATAAAATTAAAAGTTCACTGGGGATGGTGTGATTTACGAATTATATCATAGTGATTAACACAAAAGCAAACAATTATGTAAGACCAAGAGTAACTTAAAACTAAAAGCAGAATCTATGGCCTCAGATTATGTATAACTACAAGCAAGCTCTTATTTTACATGGAGGATCTGTTTAATATTGGCCTTTTTCAGTTCTTAAAACAATTTGAGTGGATAAGTAATTCGTGCTCCTTTGAAACATGTTAAAATTTATATTCTCTTCACAGACTTTGCATTTTCATTTTCCTTCATACAAACTAACAGATTTTTAGGTAGAACCAAGATAACTTCTGACAGCAAGGACAGATAAATTTATAAACAACATTTGATTATTTCATTGAAGGAATATAAACCTTAAATCTAAAACAAATGACTACTTAGATTTAAAAATACCTCTAAAGTTCACAAAGAATGGTGTCCTTTACAACCTATAGTTTCAAATATTGAAATTTATAATCATGCTTTAGCCAGTTTTGTAGTTTATTTCCTGAATAACTTTACTATTAATGAATACAGTTTGAAATACAGTTTTGAGTTTTTTTGATGAGATACAACAGTTGATGTTTGACAGCAATGTTTGTTGCACTAGTTTTGATGTTGAGTCTTTGTATGTGGTTATACCTTTTAAGAAACTACACAGTCAAGTGACAACTTGATTTTTAATAACAATACTGATAATTTGAGCATTTCTAAATCTGTATTTTTAAAATTGGTGGATTTTGCAACTTTAGAATCACATTTTCTGTTTGATGATTTGTTTATGTTCAGATTGATGGACTCTGGATTTGCTCCCTCTTTAGCCAGTCTTTCATAAAAAGTAATATCAAAATGCATTCACAACCACAAGTTTTTCTTAAATACATTATTTTCATTGTAAACATACACACACAAAAATCACATTTTGTCAATTTTTTGTGATGGATTTAATTCAGTTATTTCGATATCATTAGAGAAAATATATCTGCCAACTGCATTAAATAATGTAATCTATTTTCTTACTGTAGCAAGAAGAACAAGTTAAACAAGTTAAAAAGCTTCGACTTACAAAGAAGGCAGTTCAGCAGGGTTATTCCAGTACTGACCTAGAGTTACTGAAGACAGCATCACCAACTGAAGCTTTAGAGCTTTTAATTAACTTATCAGAAGCAATTTCATCAGGGGTGAGAAACTTAATATTGGATGTTACTTGGTGTTAAAGTCATAAATAACATAAAATAGTTTAATGTTAATCAAGCTTATATTAAAGTATACCTCGAAAATGTATGTGTATTGAATTAAATTAGCTTTAAACCCAAGTTTTACAAATATTAATCTTTGAATTTTAAGTGCATGTTTTTTATTTTATGTTTGGTTGCAATATACCAAGCTGTTTTTCTGTAGGCTGGCAAATAAAAAGAATAATAATAATATAAACAAATGACTAGTTTTGGCAGATTTTAGATTTGTTCTAAGTATCAGATAGTTTATTCTTTCTGAAATGTTTAAATGCGTATAGCTTTTACTATTGCAAAGGAAGATTTTGAGTGTTATTTCGGGAATGAGTTTGCCTTCTAAGGTGTTTTGTCAAAACCTGGTTGATTCCTATTATGAACCACAATAGTGGTTCATAATAATACTGGAAGGTTAGTGCAATTGATTCAATTTTAAACCAGTATTACACTCTAAATTTAATCTATTTATTTGAAATTATTTCCCACTAGAATCTTCTCCAAACCTGACACATCTACAGTGTATTATATTGGACACTATTTTTAATAATTAATTATCCAAAGTATGTTAAAACCTATAGTGAAACTTATCAATATTTTTCTTTACTAGGATCATCATGTTTAAAGAAAAGCTGTTAGAGATTATTAAAAATAACTTATGATGGTATTTATAATGTTGTTTTTTTTTAATGACAACTATTTTCAGAATTTAAGTTTTGATAGTCTTGATGATCTCCCGATTTTTGTTGTACATTTCTTCTCTATGGAACAAAATAAAAGTAAACTGAAAAGGTTTTATCATATTCAGTTTCTTTTATCTATTATTTTAAAGATGAAACATTATTATCGTGCTACTACCAGTGAAATATTTTATCCAATATGTAACTTACTATAAAGATGATCCATGTGTGTGTGTGCTAGCATCCATCACCCAGAGTTGGTTAGCTTGATTACCATAATTTTTGGTATGGTAACTGGAAACTGTCTAACAATGTACATGGACTATTTTGTTTTACGATTTTTGTCCAAGAAGGGAGATTAAAAAATGCCCATGAAATAAGGCACATTTCCACTTCTGGTAGACTAATTAGATTACCATACTGTTTTTTATGAAAACTGAAAACTGTCTGAAACTGTACATTGGCTATTTCACTTTAGGATTTTTTGCCTGAGAAGGGTATAAAAACAGACCCTGAAATAGGGAACATTTCCAATTTTTCATACAGACTTTTGGCCTTGAATTTAAAGATACAAGTACTTAATCGGTTAAATTAGCCTATTATTATCTTCTATAAAGCTGGGCATGCAATCAACATCTAATCAGATCATCAGGGATTTAATAACAAAATAAAGAAGGAAGGGGAACATTATCTAAAGCTGTCCTTTATACAGTTTTTGCTTCCTTAACAGATACCCTTAGCTAGTACGTATAATACTGTATTTTTTGGAATATAAGATGCACCCTTATTTTGAAGACAAAGTTTTGGGGGGGAAAAGCTACAGTCACATTTGAAAGATTTTTATTGAACAAAAATTCAGTTTGATACTTTAAAAATTAGTATACATTGGAAATATCATGAATACCTCGGAAAATACCTTTAAAAGTGTGTAC